TTTTAGCATCAAAATATTTTGAAGATTGTCAAATAAAATGTTGTGGAGCCAGAACATTTTAATACTTAAGTGGGTTGACCTGTGGCCAATCGTTTTTAAGGGAGGCAGGGACTAGGGAGGTTATTATTCTACGTTGAAAATATACGCCCCTGAGCCTCTCATCTACGCATTTAGGTATACACCTACCTACTACACAAACGTACGAAATGTGTAATGAACGTTAAGCCATACAAGTTATTCACGTTAAAACCAATTGTTAATGCATTTCTATTATGGTTATGAATAATATGTAATTATTCTGTTTAACATTTATTTTGTACTAAAGTTAATAACTGCATGAAAATATCAGGGTAAAGTTTCATAAAATAAAATAATCTACAACTGTACCTATAAATACCAACTGTTTTAATACCGATATATTATATTGTACCTATGCCTTATTTATGTTGATTAGTGCACACTAGGTATACCTACTATACCTACCTACTCTATTACTTCAGTACACTTTTGATATCTGATATAAAGTAGGTAAGTAACACGTTAACCCATTGTGTAGTTGAGGAAGACTATATTATCAAAGATTTTAAAACAGTTGTCTACAAAACTAAGACCACTTAAACATATCAGTAAAAACCACAGGTTACGTATTAAAGTGTAATAATAATATAATGCTGTACATATCTAGAATACATTTATACATATAACATAATATTGATTATTTATAATTGGTATTATAGTAGAAGTATACCTAAAATAGTTGTACCAATCAAGACCAGAGATACAATAGCGGCTGCAGCTGGGTTAAAACAAATACCTACTTTACTATCATTCAATTTTTTTTTTTTATAATACATGTCCGATATACCAAGTAATGCAATAAAAAAGATTGACGATAAAAATACGCGTATAAATTAAACGAAGAAAATCAAAGGAAAAATTCTATATAAAAAAAAAATGTTATCGTCTTGACGAAACGATGACGTCTCCAGGTGTGATTTCAAACGCCAGACACGCAAAAAAGCAATTGCATATTATAGCATAAGATATAGGTACAGACATTTCCGAGTGCTACATTATGGAATACACAATTAAAATTATATTAGTAAGTAAGTATTAATAAGGCAACTGAAGAATAACGAAGTATCATTGTAATTTGTTGTGATCTAATTATAATTAATCGCTTAATTTTTGTCGATAATATTGCCGTCCGCGGGCATTCCGTGATTGAAGGGCTTGGAATCTAAGTGATTTTTTGGGTGTATGTATAATACCTATATGCAAAAAAAATAAAATGTAATTAGGGCTACATTCAAAAATTAATTTTGGTAATTTGTGCCACATACAACTAGATAAAAAGTCGTTATGATTTATGACATTGTAATCTTAGCAATCTAGTACGTATACCAATATACTTCCATTTGCACCATATCAAAATTGTATTTTGCACCACTTTAAAATAAATAATAACACATTTTTATTTACCAACAAATATCTACTGCTTCCGGTTTAGATTCCTAAAAAAATAGTTCCGGTTCAAAAACCCGGTATTTTTAAATTCAGTTCGAAACCCTGTAAATTGCAATGTACCCAATATTGTTTCAATATATATACCTATAGATTGTATAATTTTTATTTAGCAATGTAAAATATAAAATATTGCTCGTACATACACGTTCATTTACGTTGAAATTTTAGTAATTTTATCCCGTCACTTCTGTCGTTGGCGCGACCCGCTGAGTGGTTTGCGGGTGAATATTTGAGTATTTGTACCTTTTTATAATATTTAAAATAATGTATACAATATAATATACAGAGTGATTCACTAAGCATGCACACGTCCTATTCCTCTTCAATAATGCTGTAATTCAAAATTTGATAACTTATTGTAATTTTTAAATATCTAAGTAGGTACCTACTTAAAAACAATATTTTAAATTTTTTGAGTTATAGTTTACTATACTTAAGAAATACCCTGTGAAGAGATACAAACTTCTGTTTTCCAAACGAGAACCACCCTTTTCTACCGTAAATTATTTAGTTGTCAACTTTTCTGAAAATTCATACGAGTAGTTTTTCAGTTATTTGACTTTGCGTACCTATATTAATATATTGGTCCGGGATAACGGCCTTATAATATATGGGATATGGTAATTTGAAAATGTTAGTGATTTATATTAATCAATTAATATTAATAATTTTTAAAAATCGTTCAAGTATAATAAATACAAGAACTGTACAATATTCAATATTATATCTTTATATATATTTTATATTTTTCTAAAACTATTTTTAAGGACTATTTTCCCTAGTACAAACATTTTAATAACAGTTATCAAGAGTTACTGAGAAACCACTCGTTTGAATTTTTAATTAGATGTATATCAAATTTTTTCAAATTATTTATAGTAAAAAAGAGGGGTTTTCCTATGAAATGTTTGTATCGGCACAGGATACTCCTTCAGTATAGTCACGATTAAAGATCGTATCTATAATCGTGAGTTTAGTATATAAAAAAATTAAGAATTTGAAAAAAAAATGGTTTTTGAGTATATTTTAAAATATTATAAAAATTTGAAGAAATTCATTATTAAAGAAAGAATGGGGAGAAGAATGCTCGGTGAGTCACCCTGTATATATAGGTAAGCACAAAAAAAAAATACATATATAGACCACCCTAGCTCGGGAAATATCTGTTTGCCCTACTGACTGCTGCACTTATTTTTATGCCACTCGACATACATCGGTAGCGAATTATAGTAGTCGCTAACAGCAATAGTAACAACTATTAACAGTGTCGGCCTGGCCAGGGCCGCGGGGCCGCGAACGCGGCCGAGGCCCTGAGTTTTTTTTTTTTAGTTTATAATTAGTGGCCAGGACCACCACCCCAACGTAGAGTAGTCAACAAAGCGTCAAATATACGGTACAATTAAATGTACGACGATGAACGAGGGAGTGTCGATCACTGGGGCCCACAGGCTGCAGGGGCCCCAGCCGAAGTCTTAACTAAAAATATTGTTTTCTATATTAGATTTGGATAACAATTTTTACAATCAATATGACCACCCCAATTTTTATTCACAAAAATAATCGTACAAAACTTTAATAGAGCCCTTCATTGAAAGTGACAATTGGCCTAGTTGCGCTACTGACGAAGTGTATAAATGGGGCCGGTTTAGAGAGAGCCCACGGGGCCCGGGGCCCCACAAGATTCAATTAATAAGAGGCCCTCACGAGATAATTACCTTTCAGCTTATGCAGTAAGTTATATGTCAACCTTATATGGCCAGATGATGGGCCCTAGGGCCCCCACCATCCTAAATCCGGCCCTGTGTATAAGTTATAGAATTTGAGTGTAGTGTACAATCACTACAAACACGTATCTACTATCTAGTACGATATAATAGAATCTATATTTTGTCATGGTGTATACGGGTGCGGTGTGCTGTTTACTCGTATAAGGTGTAGTACAAAATACAAATGTAATGATAAACGAGATGATTTGAACGCACATAAGATTTTTTGTACAACAAAATTGTCGGGAAAATCGTAACGAGTACAAATACAATAAGTCAATAACGTCTATGTGTGGGGCCCCTGTATGGCCGTACAATAGGTTTGATAAATTGTCTAATCAATTATTATCATTAGCGCTATATCGAAATAAAGAAGTAAGAACAATTAAGTTAAGTAATTAAAGAACTTTCATTTCATTCAAACTCATTTTATAATTTATTTACAGTTTATAAATATGTATTTATTTTACCCTCTACTCAAGTGACTTGTGAAAGGGTATTTTCTAAACTGAAACTTGTGAAGTCTAAAATCAGATCAACAATAAGTCAACAACATTTAATGCTTATTGCAATTGAAAAAGATATCAAGATTCAGAAAACTCAAATTATTGATACTATAGCTACATAACTACCTAAGTCATCTAAAATGTTACATGAATTGCTCATTTAGTATTTAAGTTTTTTATATTTAGCTATTACTTTCTTTAAAAATAATGTTGTGTCAACTTTTGTTCAATGTTCGTCTTCTTTATTATATTTTGGATGATATCTTTTTCGTAATTTGAATTACATTTTGTTTAGTAACTTATTAAAATCATGTGTATCATTAAGCACGTCAGAAGTTAATACTTGGTTTTAGACTTTAGTAGAGAATTGTAAAAGTGGAAAAATTTTAATCGAGCGACTATTTGGTGAGTGGGGGGAGGGAGGTAAATGTCAGCGTTAATAATTGGCGTTTAACGGTCAGCATCAAACGGTGCTGTTCAATATACAGGTTTCACTTTAATCACACAACTATAGTCATTTTTTATTTTTATTCATAAGAAAAAAACTGAATTCTGACATAATATATCATAAGTTAGTTTACAAAAAATAATTCATTTACACATTGGCTGATTGAGCGGGGGGGGGGGGGATATACAATAACTCTAGGAACGAAATTGTTCATATATAGTTAATGAAGAAAAAAAATCGAGGCCCCAGAGAAAAATTGCGGCCGAGGCCTTTTATATGCCAGGCCGACACTGACTATTAACAATGTCATGAACAGCAAATGTATAGGTTTACTGTTCTGTATTATAGTGGACTGATATCATATACACAGCAATACACAGCATTGTATAAACATATAAGTATAGAAGCGGCGCGTGGTGGTAGGCGTGTCTGCCGGGACGTCTTGTGTACGCCGCCACCGCCGACGACTAAAAGAGTGACATCAGGAGTGGCGGTTTCTGTTCACGCGGCACCGCCGTTAGTTAGCCGGTCGACGCACGAACCATTCGCTATACGCACGTGTGTCCGAGCGCACAATCGCCGCGCACGTTTTGCCGGCGAGATTGTCGTCGCAATAATTTTTTTACAATTACGATACTCGTACACGGAACCGTATCTAAGTCGACCGTCTCTCTTTCTCCTCTCTCTATCCGTCTCCAAATCGGAAGAAACACATTATTTAATTCAAATTGTTATTCGTTATTGTTGTCGTCGTTATCGCGTCACGCTTCCGGGTTTCGTCGCGGTGGCCCCCTTTTCGCTTCCTCGAGAAGATCCGCTCGTGCCACCGTTGGCCGGCCGTTTCGGAGCCGCAGTGTCCGCGTCCGCCGCGCAACCGGATGGCATGAGCCGCAGACCCGTCGCAGTCGCAGTCGCCGTCGTGGTCGCCACCGTGGCGGCCGTGTCGTTGATGTCTGGCACCTTCGCGGACACCGTGTCCGCCGACGTGCTACCGGACGGCGAAGTGGAGATCCGCGTGAGCGCCGGCAACGTGACAGCTAAACGGACGTCGTTCTCTTCACCAGATACCGGGTAACGAATACGCAATATCATATTGTTTAAATCAGTACCTATAGGCACATATAAACTTGACAACCTAACACATGCCTTTTTTGCGAACAAGGGGATTTTTGAGCCGAAGTATACCTACACTGTTAGAGCATAATAAACGTATCAAATTCCAGGTATCTGCTATATGACATTACGATTTTGAAAAAATTCTATATAGGTATCTAGTATCTAGGTACCTGCATAGGTGCTTACGAGTTTCATGCTATTTATAATAGCGTATTAGCGTTTAAAATTTGTGCAACAAAATAATGCATATTATGAATTTGAAACTATAGGTTGCAAAATCTGAAAAAAAACCTCGAGGCAAAAATGTAGTGTAGAATTTCAGACCACAAAATACAAAATAATATTTTCATAAACACACAAATTGAATGGGATAATATTATAGTGTTATGTATAAGATATTAGTTTTATTATTAGGTTAAACATAATGACAATTTTGAACTGTTCATCTCTTTTAATTAGGTTAGTAGATACAGTGGCGTACACAGCTATTTTCAATGGGGGGGCTTACATATAAAAAAATTATATATATATATATATATATGTATCTAATATATAAAATTCTCGTGTCACAGTTTTCGTTGCCATACTCCTCCGAAATGGCTTGACAGATTTTGATGAAATTTTTTGTGCATATTCAGTAGGTATGAGAATCGGCTAACATCTATTTTTCATACCCCTAAGTGATAAGGGTTGTCCAGAAAAAAATAAAAGAAGTGCTCAAACAGGGATTTTGATAATTTTCGGTAGAAATAATTGTTTATAAATGGTTGCTAAGGTATTGGTTATATATATAAAAAAAAAAATAATAGATACAACATCTTTTATATTTAAAAAGAAAAGAAAAGAAAATAATTTCTTTTTATCATTATTATTATTTATATAACCATGGCAACCATTTACAAACAACAATTTCCATCTGAAATCTCAAAATTCCCGTTTGATTCCCGGGATTGGTCCTCTCCCTTTTTAAATTAGCCTATGTTTTAAGTTGGATCAAAATACACACAGTGTAACAATTTCATCAAGATCGGAACAGTTGTTTTTACGAATATTGAATAACGAATTGAACAAAGTTTGAGACATATTGAGTTGATACATTTAACGGGCGACGAAGTGCACGGGATCAGCTAGTATATATATATATATAATACATTGATGAATCAAAACGATGTACCTATAGTAATTATTTTGTACATAATGAGTAATCGGCTCATTAGCAATGACTTAAGGTGAAATTAAAAATATTTTTACAATTCTCGATTATTATTTAAAAAATATATACCTATTACCTACAGGTAATTATTTAGTATAACTACAAAGTTACACGCGTACATACAATATGTATATAATAATATATTATATACAATTCAATAAAAGATAGGTATAAAGAGAAATTTATTTTTACCATATTAATCATTTTTTTGTACCTAGGTCCTAGGTTGATAATATAATGTATTAAATATTTACCCGGTTCCTCCGAGTTAATTGTATCATAAATTAGTGAGTTAGAAAAATATTCGTTTATTCTTTTCATTTGTATTGTTTTTTAAAATATTTAAACAGTAAGGACAATTTACTAAACGTCCAAAGCGTCAGAAATTTGATTGAAAACTGAGAAATAGATTCTATACTATAGTATTAGCGATACTGAGATAGCTATTAAGGCATATTATATCGGATTACACGATTGTCGACCCTCATGTTTGTGTTTGAACAAATTTCCCAATAATTTCATTAATTTGTAACAAGTTATCAATAATATCTACAATATATTATAACAACAAACTGGGTTGCTTATAAGTTATAATATAATGGAGTATAATTTGGAATATAATATTTTTTTAAATCGTCATCATTTTAGATTCTGAGTGAAACGATGAATGTATTGATTTTACAATGATGTGTGTTTTTTTATTTTTTTTTTTATTTTTTTTTTTATTTTTTTTTTATTTTTGTGTCTGTCATCACGTTTTAGGACAGTAAAAGTGCTTGGATTTTCTTCATCAGTAGCTTTTCTGATAGGAAAGTGAATCTAGTTGGTACTTTGGGGGGTCAAAAGTATAAATTTCCCAATAGTTTTCACAAGCGCTGGGAAAAACAACATAAAAATTAAGGAAAAACGGGAATTTTTACGCAAAATTGGTTTTCCAAAAAATCGATTTTGGTTTTTGGTGTAACTCTGAAACAAATGAACGTATATACATGAAATTTTCACTGGTTGTTTATATTTGCATTTTCTATACACGATAACATTTTCAAAATATTTTGATTTATTTTGAACTGTTTAGGGACATTTTCATTTTCCATTTTTTTTTAGTTTTTTTTCTAAAAATATCAATAAAATTTTATTTGTTGGTTGCGAAAGCTTGAAAATTTAATAGAAGGCTCCTAATATATTGTTTCAAAGGCAGATGAAAAATATTAAAAATCCTTAGTCACAATTTTTTTTTATAAGCATTTAAAGTTCAAAAATTGACAAAATATGGAAAAATCACGAAAATTAGCAAATTATTTTGAGTTAAGAATTCGTAAAAATTTTTCTTTTTAAATCTAAGATTTGAAAATGAAACACAAGATTCCTTATAAGATTATCTACCTTTATCAATAAAAAAATCTCTACCGGACAGTCAAATTAAATTTTTATGAGCGTTTGAAATTCAAATTTTTACAACATTGGATTTTCACTCGATTTCTCATGTAGCGATTTCCTTATTTTGTTGTAATTCAAAAACGAATAACTGTAGATACATGAAAATTTCACTGAATGTTTATATTAGCATTTCCTATACACCATACAATTTTGAAAATATTTTGACTCTTTTTGAGCTGTTTATGGACATTTACAGCTTTCAATTTTTTTTAGTTTTTTTTTCTATAAATATCAATAAAGTTTTATCTGTTGGGCCAAAAAGTGTAAAAATTTAATACAAGGCTCCTGATATATTGTTACAATATCAGTTGAAAAATATTAAAAATACATAGGCACGATTTTTTTTTATAAGCATTTAAAGTTGGAATTTTGACAAAATTTATCAAAATCTCGAAAATTATCAATCGTTGGAATTAAAAAATTATAAAATGTTCAGTTTTTATAACTAAGAGTTGAAAATTTAAAACAAAGATTCTCTTAAATAATTCATACTGTAACCAAAAAATCTAAAAAATATATAAACACACTTATTTTTTACAGACATTTTAATTTCAAATTTAGACAAAATTCTAAATTTTTATTTAAACATCGAATTTTGACAGAATTTTTCAAAATCTCGAAAATTATTAATCATCGTAATTAATAAAATTATAAAATGTTCAGTTTTTATAGCTAAGGATTAAAAATTTAAAACAAGATTCCACGTAAGTAGATAATTCTCTTACCAAAAAATCTAAAAAATATACAATCACAGTTTATTTTTATAGTAATTTTATGTTCAAATTTGGACGAAATTACATATTAAAAAACCTAGTTATTTTGTTGTGATTATATAATATTATTCGTGGGTACCTACTTGAAACTTCTAAAGTGTACTATAAAATATATCTATGATAGTATCAGGGTTTGTTATTGATGTTGATGTATAACGTGTTATAAGTACCTAATGGATATTGTGATAATGTGATATGCTTAATTTGGAATTTATTATAGGTCAATTTTTTTTTAATACTATAGATATGTATATAATTTGTCTTAAACCTAGACTGACATACCGTCTTCGCTCAGAATCGTTTTTCTTATACAATGATATTGTATCATTGAATTCAAATTTAATAGCATCCATTATACAGTGACCCACTTGTAACCTACTGTACAGCAGAGCGACATCCACTTACCCACCTTTTTACTATACATTTTTACGTTATTACGTAAACTGAAAAAATACTAAAGGGGGGGTTTGAACACCCAAAACCCCCCCCGTGTGTACGCCACTGAGTAGATATTTAGTACCTTCATGGAGTACATACAATATAATTTATATTTATATTATATATAATATTATATACAATATACTTGTATACATCATTGTGGTTATAAATTATAATGGTAGGTATACTCGATATAATTGTAAATTATGATTAGATAATATTATTTTGTAATTACTTTCGTTTGAAATGACATTGTTTTTTTTTGCTATTATTCCAAAAATTTTTTTTTATAAAATACTACTGGTTTTACTAACGTTTTGTTAGTATAATTGTATAAAAGTATAATTGCCTGAAGAGTAAAACGATGAAAAAAATATCGATCATATAAATACGAAACATAATTATCATCGTTGTATTTTTAAGTACTCTGCAGTCTGCACGACAGCCGACTGTACGACTAACTGCTCAAATGGTCATATTGTGATGAAAAAAAGTGTCCTAGTAAATGTCGAAACCAGTTTTATACATGTGCTCTCAAAGTCGAGGTTACTCATTATTATGGATTTTGGTATAAATCGATTTTAAAATAAAAAATAAATTTTTAATCTGTCTTTTACAAATTAAAGACATTATATTAATTTATAAAATAGGCATACCTATAATATTTGTTTTAAGACGTGAGTTGAAGTTTTTTTCCTAGTAAACAAATTTTTACGTAATAAGACTCGTTATTATAATTTATAACACGAAATACATATTTGACATTAATTATTTTCTTAATTTCGCAAGAAATGTTTACTTTTTTAATATGATAATATTTTATAAATTCTATGCTTCACTCATCAGTATCTAAAAATTAAACTTGATTTTCTGGAGTTAAACTATGAGTTTATACAATGTTATTTAGAAAAAAAAACATAGGTGTAGGATATTTCATAAATATTATTATTTATAATTGCAATTTAAATGTTTCTTATACTAATACACGGGAGTTTTAAAATAAGAAATACCACCAATTTAATACCAATTGCGAAAAATTAAGTATTATCAAAAATAAAGCTAAATATAGAATACCTGTTCTAAATTGTACTTCTATGGTATCTGAAATTAAATTC